CTTTATTAATACCTATCGCAGAAGCAGAAGCTTTATTAATACCTATCGCATGCAAGAATGCCACTTTATTTCCGATCCCAACAGAAAATGCAAGGCCACATAATGCAGAAGGCTGCTAACTAACTTGAAGGGAATACTCATCCCTTCATCGCTTCATCTGACGAGGAAATTCTCAAGACAAAGGCAATCCTCAGCGAATAAAATGACCGCGTTCTGGATAGGAAGAACAAAAAGCAATCTCTCGATAAAGTTATTATAAGAACAGCAGAACGATGTTATTATAATAACGTCTTATAATAATGTTATAGAGAATCTCTAAGAAGAGTATGACTTCGAGGGTTTCGACGGTGCTGGCGTGAAAATTAAGATGTGTACTTCAAGAGCATTCTGATAGACGTACTGAAACACTGAGCCCGCCGCTTTGAAACAGCTCTTGGTAGATAAAGTGGGACGGTACTCCAGTCCACAAAGTAAGCTTGTCCAGGAGTGGTGCCAACACTATCATAGAAGAGTGACCATGCTGCTCTATAGGACATAACTCGCTTGACTCCTCTATATGGTCCTTAATTAGAAGAGTACCTCAGTTGCAATCAAAATTTGAATACTTCTCGGGACGACGAGGTTATCGTCGTCTATGGCGACGACCCCATTACTATGTAAATCGTCGTCTCACTGTCTGAGACGAATCCCGAGCTGAACCCACGCCCCTAAATGGTGCGGCGGGGTCAAGCGGACCCGAGATAAGTGGGTCCGCACTCCTTCCTATAACAGCGTCACGGCAAGACGTAAGTTACCTGTCTTATAAAGTATCTATTATCATTACTCTGTGCTTTGATAGCGGGAACGTCCGCGCTTACTATATTATTGTGTTACATTACTCCGTTATCACCGGAGGCATAAATATCCACTGAACCACCCGCACATTTATCAAGAACAGCTGAGAAGAAATGAAGGTGGTACACCTCCGTGCAACATGCGAGGATTTCGCGAACAGTCTTTGTGCCTCTACCCGTGGTCACGTGGATGATATGAAATAAGATGGCAGCTTGTTGTTGCACATTGTGTGAGCAAATGTACCTATAGATTCAACCGGTATTCTCAACTTAGAAGCTCAAAATACCTAGCAATGAAAGGGAGTCCATGATTTTGGAAAATCTTGAAGTTGTGTCTTCTCCGTGTATTCGTCAGCTACGTTGTTTCTACTCAGATGTAAGACTAGCCTCTGAAAATGGGGGATTTCCAAAGATGTTTCACACTGTTCCGCGGTACAGGTTTGTTATGGTAGAAACCGCTTCATTTGGTCGACGTTGCAAACAAATCTTCCTTTAGACTTGAAAGCAGTTCGGAGCTCCTGATCTATGGCTTACCCGACTAAGCGTCTAGACGCGCTAGCCCGGTTGCAACAGCTCCCAGAAACTTGATCACCAAAGATCCCAACCGAGAAACCAAACTGCTGTGGTTTCACTAACGTCGCCGCCCCAATCAATTTTGTGAACAACAAGAGACCGATAAGACATCATTGACGGTCCTTAAATAAGAGTTATGCTGTGTTTTCAAAACCTGCAAAAAGGAATAAAAGGCCGAAGTTCGTCTGTAATGGCAGTGTACTCAATTCGGTTGTTCAGCTCGAGATTTTTCACGCGGATGTGCAACGCTTCCAAGATCTTTCTAGCGCCGATCTCATTCTCATAGGCTAGAATTTTGCATTGAATATCAAAGTCATTGCTTCGATATATTTCTAGTCAATGCTCCCCAAGTGGCGTGTACAGGATCCCACACCTTTTACCTGCTAGATGTTCTTTGACAGGTATGATGTTATAAGCGGTCCACCTCGAGGAAGGGTGCTATTATCAGTTTCATTCAACATTGACACGACAGAACCGCCCGCTATGCTCAGAGAAGTAGGCTTATCAGTGAAAGTCCATGCAGATCTTTGCAGAGAAGTCCTTTTTTGAGACTATCAAAAAGTGAAAGGAATATTAATTCGACGGTGAGTTGTCTGAAAAATGGCGATTGCCTAAGATCCCGAGAAATTATGGACATTAATTTAACATCCTGAACTCAGCCTCCTCCTCGATCGTAGAATCTCCGCGGCGGAGCTTGTCAGAGATGAAAGCTTCAGCTGTAGCAATAATATTGATATTTCAGAGTATATCAGGAGATTCAAAACTGCACAGCTTTGAACGAATATTCCGTTGTTTTTTCAGGGTCGTCTGTTACTGTAACCGTATGCAAGCATTAATGCAAGCCTACAAGTTCTATATTGACCGGTTGAATCCAGCACCATACTATCTAATCCTTCAGAGAAGAAATTCATCTAAACAATCGTACTGGTACAAAACTAGTCTACTCGTGAATTTTCGTGAAGGAGGGTTTTTGAATTTGATACGAAATGCTGCAATTAGGAATAGGTCCTCAGTACTGTCATCGCTACAATCCAGGTGTAAAACTTTTGATATTTGCTTGATTCATAAAATGGTTAGAGGCTCGTTTCTGTCCGGCGGTCCCAACGTGATCGAAATGACAAGTTCAACCGCGAGAGGGGGTCCATAAACATCACTATCAAATGGCCTGGAATAAACCCAAATGCAGAAAGCGACAGTTATTACAGGAAGTTCTTTGAACGGTTTCCTGATATTAGGAGACGACTCGAGAAGCTTGATCCGGTTCTGAGCAAAACTCTCCAAAAATTACAACTTACATGGGACCGCAACGAAAACAACATAATTAGATACCGGACTCTACGAAAAATACGTGGAATGGTTTTTTCTCTCTCTAACAAAGGATGAAAGAGAGTTAAAGCCTATCTACCTGTACAGACTATTCTTTCTAACACGAGCGTTACCTACTAATGAGCCCAGTGGAGTTAGAAGTTTAGTTGATAGTTTAAACGAGTCGTGCAACATTGGAATAGGTCCTCATACTGCTGCTCCAATGTAGCTTACTTTCAAGCTAGATCCAGGGGAAAAACAATAATCAATGACTGAATGAGCGAAAAAATCGAAACGGAAAAGTCACAAGCATGTTTTTCGATGAACCCAACCTGATTTTAACTTTGACTAGGACTTTACAGCTTAATTTATCGGATTTAAAAGTTGAAAAGATCGCCACCGAGGGTTGACCCTCTGACTTTAGTTGCCTCATACGATTTCTTGCAAAATTTCAAATACCGCAATTGGACCCGTTATAAAAAAAATTGATGTTAGTGAAGAATTTTCAACAGAATCCTCGAAAAACACTCACAAATTCTCGTGCCTTGATGAGAGCCATTGCTTGGACCGCGGTGAATTCATCTCATTTCTCCGCAGACACACATCGATTGAATCCTTCACCTTCAACAGTGATTCAAAAGAACGACGGTCCGCGATATAATTTTTCCTATGCTATTTGACTGTCTTTTATTTGGTGCACCATACTGCAGGTAATGAACTGAAATCTAATCAACTCGACCAGTGTTCGTCGAGCCTACACTCCGCACCACCTCCGAATTCAAACACACAATTGAATGAAGAGCTAACTGCATTTGTTGCTTATGATGGAAGCTCCCCACCAAATTAACAATGTGACTTCGCAGTTGTTCACAGTCAACTCTTACTGCGGCCCAATAAGTGATAACCAAGCATAGTACACAGTAGTTATGACAGTATAGGGTTATTAATATTAGAAGTTATAGCAGGAATTTAATCGATTGACACAATAGCAGCCCTCTTTTTCACAAGAGTTCCTTGCGCTCAAGAGCTGTTATGCTATTTCGACAGACCCCGCCGCTCTGATGACCTGTCAAGTCTATACTCAACGTCAATTCCTGTATATAATCCTTAACAATATGGCCGATAATGTTCTTATTCTACAATGCATAGATATTTGGCATGACAATTCACAAAAGGATTGAGCAAAGGAAAAAACCTACGCGACATCTTATGGGCAGTCCAACATCTCTCTGAAAACAAATGCGCTTCTGACCACGTCAACATCTTTATCGATAAATAGCGAAGGAATGATAGTAACTCGGACATCCAGACAATGAGTTATATACATTCAGAAGTACAATACAAGAAACAAAATGAAACTGAATGAGACTAAATTAGCTAAGCTTATCAATTGCTGCGGGATCAAGTCGTAGTCTCTTGGCCATCTGCGCATTCTCAGCTGCCAACTGATTATTAGCTAGCTCCATCCTGAACAGTATATAGTTTCGCATTTGTGTTAAACAAAACAGACCGCAAAATTACTTGACACTGAGTAAGCTATGTACAAACCAGACCTCCTACAGAGAAAAGTAGAAACTTTTGAAATCACTAGGGCTCTCACTGTTTCACTGGGCAGGAACAGTAAGTTGGTATGTCCACCTGGAGTGGCACACCAAAGAATTAGGCAAATCTTTTGAGATGGGAAGTGTTCGAACTCCCAAAACACCGAAAGCGATGCTTCATTCTAGCTGTTAAAATAGTTATGATCACCCACCTGTAATTGTTCGTGACCATAGCTACCCAACTGCCCTCGAGATCTCTTAACTGACGTCCAGCTTCTAATTGAGCCATTTTACGGCGAGCATGAATCTCCATCACCTTAATTTCCATTATTTTATAGACTTCCACAAGCGACTCGATAAAAATACTATTAGGTTGATGCATAAATATTGCGGGTTTTTTCGCGGCTTTTTTTCCCTCGATAGAATTGGAATGTTGAGTTCGGTTTTTTCTAGAAATGATCTACTTGAATTCCTCTACAAGAATATACTCAAAAAACCATCCGCGTATTCGCGAAATTAGGCTTAACTACTTCGAGAAAGATTGGAAGGTGGCACAGTCATTCCGCGATCTCAGTCACTTTTCGGCGATGGAAAAACCAGCCAAAGCCAACCAAGAAATGGGATCTGCCCCTAAATCT